ACACTTCATGCATCACCACATTCATTTCTTTCACATTACATGTTAGTGTATCTTGTCACTGCCCAATTGCCCTCTTTTGGACAGCTTAAGTGATATATTATGCTATGAAGCTTGCCAAGGAAACTTAATAATAGAGGGACTGTTTGTAAAAAAAAAAAAAAAAAGAATTAGAAAGATATGAGTCCAGAGTCCAGTAAGTGAATATGTAAAAATAGCTTGTGAGATTTCTCAATTACATCTGAAGGTGTAATTAGCTTATGCTACAATGTTTTACATGACCAAATCAACCTTTATACTATTTCCTTTAATTTTCCTTTCTTTCTTTCTTTCTTTTTAAGCCTCTACAATGGCAATATTACACTTGATATCACATAAAGTTTCCACTTGACCATCTTCTACCATTAATAAGAAGCGTTTGACTCCATTCAACTTTGACTCCCTGGATGTTTGGTTACCACTAAATGGAACAAAAAACAATTCTTCAGCTTCCTTCTTTGCTTTGGGGGTAGGAAGAATGCAATAAATGTAATGGATGCATACCCATGATTAGCAATGAAATATTTTGGGGGGAAAAAAACTCCTGATAGATGAAACAGTTGAGCATTAGGATTGCTCACAAATTCATTTTGTTTCAGATTACAATCCTAATGGTTAAATCTATAATGGATTAATCACTTTGGAATGTGTGAATTTTAATGGGTAAATTCAAGCTTAGATTGAAATAAGAAATCCCATCCTTATAATTTAAACCAGAGGTATCAAACTCAAGGCCTGCGGGCCTGATCCGTCTTGTGAGGTGCTTAGATCTGGCCTGTGGGGCTGCCCTGGAAACAGCAAAGGACGGGCCCGGGGTGCCCCTGCCAGCGAAAATGGAGCTTGGGTGGGCTGCGCGCAGCCCTCCCAGGCTCCCTTTTTGGCTGTGACGGTCTTCTGCAGCCCTCTGCCTGCGAAAACGGAGTTCGGGATGGTTGCAGGAGGCTGGCAGAGGGCTCAGGATGTCAAGCTGGCCACATCCACTCTGGCCACGCCTACTCGGTCCCTGAGGTCAAACCCTGATGCAGCCCTCAATGAAATTGAGTTTGATACCCCTGATTTAAACTATTGGGGAGGACGGAAAAGGACTTACTTACACACAGAGACACAGACACACACACACTAGGAGATGGAATTTATTAAGCATCTCCTAGGTTGTTTACCATAAACTGAGGACTGGGTTTGACACAACTAACTGCAGGAAACTGAAGTAGGTCAAGAGAATATATTTGCTATGAAGTAGTCAACCAGTTGGTAAAATTAATCAATAGAGTTATCTAGAAATGCTGAGAGGACTATTCAAATTTCCTAGGCATTTGGGGATGTGGGGGGAAAGATAAGGTAGCTTTAGAGCAAAGACACAGCATTAAAATGAATCCCTTTGTTTAACTCATGCAATATCATGTTAAGTCTCAACGATGGTAAATATAGATACGACTATTTTAAGAGGTAGAAAGAAAATGTGAAACTTCTTATCCCTTGTCAAACACAGGATTAAGGCAACGGGGATCTATTGTTCAAACTTTGTAAGGTAAAGAAGACTCAGATGGTGGGGGCATTGCATGTTTTCAAAATGTGACTACCACAATACGTTCAGTTCATGACTCTCATCTCTCTATAGCATTGTCAACTTTTGGACCCGGGCTTTCGCAACACATTGAACTGCAGTCATTAGAAAGCAGCATGTTTATGTTACGCTGTGAAAAAGTTCAACTGCCAATTTCTGCACATCGAGTGGCTGTTAAATATACACGAGCAAGCCTGGCCAAAATTTGCAGGGTTTTTTTTTTGCATCGAAGAACTGCAATGCTCTTACAGAAAGCAAGAGAGCAAAACGGGGTTAAAAAAATATGACATGATGGGTAACTTAACTCACTATTTTGTGAAACTCTTTTTTTACCCTCAGAATAATTTATCCAATTTACACATCATCCATCCTCACAAAAGGCACACTGGGCCAGTGGTGGGCTGCCCCCAGTTTGGACCGGTTCGCAAGAACCGGTAGTAAAACTGGGAGGAGGCCCTGCTCACCACCCCGGATGTCGTCATCGGTGATCTGCGCATGCGCAGAAGCTAAGGGGCGTGTGCAAGTGAGCGAAGCAAACCGTTGCAAACCAGTAGTAAAGGTAAGTAGAACCCACCCCTGCACTGGGCGGTGTACAAGTAACAAGTAATATATAAAAACATAACAACTGTATATGATTGTTATGTGTGTTGGACCTAGTCTTTGGGTGTTAAGTGAATTTTGTTGTATGGATATACCGTGTATACACGTACAATGTCAATAAAATAATAATAATAGTAGTAATTATTATTATTATTATTATTATTATTATTATTATTATTATTATTATTATTATTGGTTATTAAGAGGCAAAGGTAGTTAAAATTCAGAATTAAAGACAGAGGGATGTCCTTCAGGTTGCTAACCAGCCTCATGCCTGTATGTTCTTCAGAGATCCAAAAGCAAGAAAACAATTATCTTTGTTTACATGACAATTTATTCTGCTTTACAGATGGTCCTCGACTTATGACCATAACTGACCCCCATTGACTTTGCTTGTTAGAAGGTTGCAAAAGCTGAGCACATGATCCTGGGGCACTGCAATTGTCATAAATATGAACCAGTTACCAAGCATCCTAATTTTGATTACATAACCATGGGGATAGTACTACGGTCGTAAGTATGAAAAATGGTCATAAATTACCTTTTTCAGTGCCCTTGTAACTTTGAATAGTCATTAAATGAACTTTTGTAAGTACTACCTGTATAGGTGAATGTTACAATGATTGCTAGCAAAATCTTAAGACTGTTTGCAGGAAGACTATGAGCACCATGGCCTGGATAGAGGAGCAGAGCCTTATGGACAGTCTCCCAATAGTACACTACATTTAGGGCATGAAAAAATGAAACAAGTTGGAAGATTAACTTGTGTAATTTTTGTTCGACTTAAAACTCTGAAGATTTCAAGTTATCCAGAATTCTTTATCTATATAGCTTGTTAGTCAGAACTTTGTGTCTGCATTATTGTATCTGTTGTGGTCTGCCAGCAGCCTGCGGAGCTGGCAGCAGAGTTGGACAGTGAGGAGGTTGGGGAGGAACATGGGCCAGTCCTGGAGTCTGGGGAAAGCTCAGATGAGGACTCTGCGTCGGAGGCAGAAAAAAGGCCATCTGGGAAGTATGTGCTGCCTCCGAAGCCTCCAGAGTCGGACCTCAGCGAGGCAGAGGAACAGGGTGAGCCTGTTCCCAGTGCGTGCATGTGCAGAGCTGCCAGAAGGCAAGAATAGTTAAAACAAAAGGGACGACTCGGGAGTATGGCTTGGAGATGATTGGCCCCTCCCATAAGACTTAAAAGAGCAGCAAAGGCACGTGGACCTTTGCAGGAAGCAACGTTGTTAACTCTGTGCAGTTTAAAGTCTGAAGCTCTGTTTGATTCTGGACTCCGTGTGGCTTTGCCAATTAGGTCTTTGGCAGCATGTCAAGGGAGATAAAGGTGAGTGATTATCAGCCTTATCCCGAAAGACTCTTTACAACTATTTGGGACTCATCTGTGAATGAACAGAATTCACAGCTGTTAAAATAAAACAGGTTTTTGGGACTACTCATGTGTTTTACTGACTCAGGAAGCCTAGGTCAGAACAGTATCAAGAAAAGCTGAGCTAGCTAAAAAGCATGAGTTGGATTATTCTCTTGTATGAGGAGTCGCCTGTTCTAAGGACAGACCAGCCTAACAAAGATCTGATACATTCACAAGAGGAACACTACCGGTAGTCCTTGTCTTACAACAGTTCATTTAGTGACCTTTTGAAGTTACAACAGCACTGAAAAAAAGTGACCTATGACCATTTTTCACAATTATGACCCTTGCAAGCATCCCCATGGTCACATGATCAAAATTCATATGCTTGGCAACCGACTTGTGTTCATGACAGTTGCAGTGTCCCAAACTCATGTGATCACCATTTGTGATCTTCTGACCAGTAATCAATGAGGAAGCCAGATTCACTTAACAACCATGATACCAAATTAACTTAATTGCAGTGATCTATTTAACAACTGTGGGAAGAACTGTTGTAAAATGGGGCAAAATTCACTTAGTTATTGTCTCTGTTAGCAACAGAAATTTTGGGCTCAATTGAGGTTGTAAATCGAGGATTACCTGTAGTTTGGAAGCTTGGGGCCTGGGGTCTGTAAAAAAGTAACAGCAGTTCCCACTGCATTTGCTTTCAGAGGAATTTCCTTAGCCACCATATAAAGGTACAGTTGTACAGACATCACAAATGTCTATTACAGTTATAGCTAACTTTTTCTGGACCAAGTGCCCAAAGCACGCCCGAACCCCTACAATGCAAAGTGCGTGCAGCAGAGGTGGGTTGCAGCAGGTTCTGACCAGTTCTGTAGAACCGGTAGCGGAAATTTTGAGTAGTTCGGAGAACTGGTTGTAAAAATTCTGACTGGCCCCACTCCCATCTATTCTCTGCCTCCCAAGTTCCAGCTGATCAGGAGGAAATGGGGATTTTGCAGTAACCTTTCCCTGGAGTGGGGTGGGAATGGAGATTTTACAGTATCCTTCCACTGCCATGCCCACCAGGCCACGCCCACAGACCCGGTAGTAAAATTTTTTGAAACCCATCACTGGCGTGCAGCCCTCCCCCCCCCGCACAAACGCACCCCCGCATGCCCCCCCACATGCGTGGCAGAGACCCAAAGACCAGCTGGCTGGCGAGAGGTGTGTGTGCATGCGTGGCAGAGCTGAACCGGGGCAACGGCTTGCGTGCCCACAGAGAGGGCACTGCATGCCACCTCTGGTACATGGGCCATAGGTTCCCCATCACGGGTCTATTATGTTTAAAGCATGACAGCTAGAAAAAAGGAACGCAAACTAATTTTTCAGAAAAAAAGAAATCTTTTTTGCTAGAGTGATTTGTCCCCGTTATTGTTGGCAACCCTCAAAACCCACCCTTACCTTGAGCAAGAGGCTGCAATGATAAAGCAGGTTGGCCCGGCTGAATTGATAGCAAACCTTGACGTTGCAAAGACAAGAGGTGTTGCTGTTGCAATTGCTGCATTTGCAGAAGCTGCTGCTGGAAGGCCAACTGTTGCGAAGTCACCTGTTGCTGCTGCGGCTGGCAAAAAGAAAGAATCGATACGCTTCTTTTAGTTTCGTATATTTACTACCCTCTTCCACACTTTTATGTTTAGGAGGGAAGGAAACGATTCATTTCAAGAACTTTGAAAGCTGCTGACCTGTCTTAGCCAGAACTACAGTAAGGGGGTAAAAGACTTATGAACAGTGCAATTTTATGCATGTCTACTTAACGTGATGTTCAGTGAGATTTAGTTCCACTTGAGGATTACACCCCAGCAAGTAGCAGGAATACAAACAGTCATGCAAATAGTTACAGCTGGTTTACGAGAATTGCTGCTATGAGCTCAGGCAACTATCGATGCGGGCCCGGCATCTATAAGAAAGCAGGAGCAGTTCCCAGTGCATTTTGCTTTTAGGAGAATTTCCTTAACCACCATACAAAGGTACAGTTACACAGACATCACAAATGTCTATTATTTTTAAAGCATGTCTGCATATCTTATGTCTCATTAGTTAAATGTTTTCCGAGAGTTGAGTTTGGCAGCATACCAGGTGCTCAATAAACCTTGCTGTTTTGCTGCCTGCTTGTAAGTGTAAAAATGAGGGACCTAGCTGTCATCACATGGCAAGCCATAATTCAAAGCTAGTCAGTTACATTGAGCATGATGGATCACGGGCTATGCAGACCTGTTAAAGCAATCCTCAAATTATTGGCTGATTTTATAGGTTAATGGGTTTCAGAATGGTGGCCAAATCCTAATCTTAAAAAGCTGCCTTTTCTGAGAAGTCCTATTAAAATAATTATATTCAGGTCTACAACCATTTGTGTGGGGGGGGGGAGGGGGGAGGCTCTGTAAAGCAGGATGATGACACATTTGGATTTTTTCAAGGAATTCATGGGTACAATGGGTGGTATTGAGGGAAGACTAGGCCCTTCACCAAATGGCTGCCACGATAGGCAAATCTAGCCCAAAGACAATTATTTAATGGAACGTACTAGTGCATATATTGTCTGCCAACCTCAGCTTAACTATGTTTTTCTTTTCTTTTCTTTTTCTGGGCAGATGGACACACTTCAAAGCAAGCATTATACCAAAAGCACTCATGTGGAATTCACAGCATTCACAGAAATAAATACTGCAAATTGGACTGTGCTTTTACCATACCAGTCATCCATTCTTTCAAAAGTAATTTAAACAATTACACATATTTAGAAAAAAAAATGTGTGTGTGTGTGAATCCTTCCAGGAGTTGAAGGAGGTGACTAACGGTCCCCTCAGTTCCAACAGGAAACTTATAAAGGTTAAACAACATTTGTGCACTAAAAAAAGAGAATTTAAGTTTTTTTTAAAAATAGATAAGAACCCTTCCATTTATCATAATTTGTATTTTTTATGGGGACATACACATGGATGAAATATTAAAATATGAAAAAGGTAGTACAAAAATATATACAAAACTCTTCCATGTATAAGACAATGTTTCCAAAACTTAAACCTCAAATGGTGCAGACTGGCGAATTCTTGTCACGGCAACATGGAATTAGCCAAATTTGTGCACTTTTTAAATATTATAAATTATAAACTTTTAAATCATTTAAAAAGCATGACCTTATGGCATACCTTTTTAAAACAATTTCAAGTGAATGGCGTCTACAGATAGAGACTTAGCATTCACCCTGTAGTAGTATTACTAATAGTGCGCACGGGTGTGGTTCAAAAATTTTGGTTGTCACTATGATTGGCATCTCGTGAAGTTCTTATAAACTTGAGCTGCCTAATCCAAACACAGAAAATAACATGAACCTCATACATCTACACTTAATTGTAATGATAAATAACCCATGCTATGCTCTATTTACTTATTAAAGTACTGTCTCAGCTATTAAGGCACCAATTGGTTAATTTATTGTATTTTCCATAGGGGCTGTTGCTGTCATGCAATCTATCATTTCCACTTTAAAAAAAAAAAAACCTTCAGCAGTTTGGGGAAAAATTATCTCAGGGAAAAAGGCTATGATGTTATACTTGCCAGGATCTGAACCTTGAACCCTTAGAGGTGTAAAAGACTGTGTTGCTTTCTCACTGCTGCCCCCAGAGAAGGTTTTAACTACTCTGTTTATCACTTCTGACATAAATAAATGAGGAAAAATTCCAGACCTTTGAAGAAGAAAAACTTCATCTAATATTGTTAATTAGCCATGACAAACGATGAAATAACACTGTAAATCTTTCATAGAAACAGCCACTAGATTTTAATTATACACATTCATAATTTAGCAAACAACATCTTATTTGAATGCACTTAATATGTGCAGTACTTGAGGCTTCAGAGTCCTTCATTTTGTTTCATTTAAGCAAGCCCTTAGGTTTTACTTGTCTTGTATTTTATTTACTTTTGTTCTTTAAGCACCCATGAAAAAGCTTTTGCTGCTTTGATAAGGATCTTTTTATTTATTGAGCAATGACAGGAGGAAACTTTGGTTGTGTAAAATATCAGTGCATGAAGCCAATGTTTAGCAATTCCTTAAGCTAGCCAAAAAAAGTTAATGTAGATTTCCTTAGTAATTATCTGAGTGATAGAAAGATAACATAGTGCACTAGCACAATAAACAGAAGGAAATTATCTAATATCCCTAATCTGTTAGGAATCATATCAAGGTGGAGGGCTTCAGAGAGTTTGCAGCTAACGTCTGCAGAAAGAAAATTAACCCTTGACTGACAGAAACATATATAAGCTATAAGACAACAGCATTTGGAAAGAATGGGGACTATTTGAAGTATTAAAACCTATATACAATGGAGAAAAACTGCCTATAGGAAAACTCTTTATTTTCATCTTCAAACAATTCATTCTAAAAATGTATTGTCAGCATCTACCCACTTTGGCTGATTAAAAAATAATACACAATCATGGTTGGGCCTGATTACTAGGATGTTCAGCAAGAAAGCTGACTGGAAAAGGCAGGATGGGGAAGTTAAAAAAAAATACTTGGAAAAAGGCAATGGCAATGACAAGCTACAAGTGACATGCCAAGAAAATTACACAGAACTGGAGTCACCAGGATTCAATTTTGATTGGAACAAGTCTTTATAAAACATCTATAAAGGCATTTATTGCCTGCCATTAAGGTGGGAACTCCATTTTTCTCCCAACCAACCAGACCAGAATTATCTGAAGAAATGCTCCTCAAAATATACCAGGGAGAACCCTTCCTTGAAACAAATTCCCACTTAGATAATATTGTTCTGGAGCTTTAATTACTTATTTTCACTTGTTGGATCAAATGTTGCAGCTGTTTTTACTTTTTGGCTCAAATGTTACACCTTCTTTCACCTGTATTTCATTCCAGCTGAAATGAATAGGCATTTCTCAAGAAAATAAACTATTCCTTTGCTTCCACACACCAAATAACCGGGAGAAGCAGATCCTCCCTTCCTCTTCTTTCTTTGTCAAAATTAACAATAGCAGAAAAATATAATACAACTGGTTCAAATGCATGAATGCTGAACAGCCAAGGGTTCAAAACAAAAGACCCCATACTAAGAACAGGCAGACCACATATTAATCCTAAACCAAGGTTAACACACACACACACACAAATTCTGGGTTTACATAATATATATGCCAAACAAATAAGCTATATTATGACTCAAAATGCCAGTGCTATACAACAAGCTTTGACAATGGTTGGTTCACACATTATTTTATGGCTTGTTTTTAGTCATGTTTTATGACAAGGGTCCCTATGCCTCAGGCCATGGACTGGTACCAATCTATGGTCTGTTAGGAACTGGGCTGCCCAGATGGAGGTGAGTGGTGGACGAGCAAGTGAGCAAAACTGAAACCATCCCCCCTCCCCCCCCCAATCAAGGAAAAATTGTCTTCCACGAAACCAGTCTCTGATGCCCAAAAGGTTGGGGACCGCTATTTTATGAGATAGGCAGCTATATAAATATGATTAATTATTTTAACTGCAACTATCTAATTCTATTTCAGCTTAATCTAGAGTATTGTGAAAACCAACCATTAAGTTTTTCATAAAAAGCTGGTTTGTTCTTAGCACTGTACATTTGAGCAGTATGATAGTTAAATTGGCCTTGAGACAGAAATGACATGGGTAGCATCCAGGGATGGGTTCTAAATTTTTTTACTACCGGTTCTTTAGGTGTGGCTTATTTTGTGGGTATGGCTTGATGGTCATGTGACAATTATTTAGGATTTAGCAGAGGTACTGGTCTACCAGGCTTTTAACTGCTTGCAGAGCTGTACCGATCTACCCATTTATTTTTGCAGGCACTGATCTACTCATGTATTTTTGCAGGCATTTGTTTTTGCAGGCACCGGTCTACCCACTTGTTTTCTTTTAACACTGATCAGCTGTAGGGTGGCCCTTTGAAGCCCCACGGCAAGAGTTTAAACAGTTTTTTTCCCTCTAGCCATCAGCTGGGACTCAGGAGGCAGCAATAGATTGGGGGTGGGGCCAAATAAAAGATAAGAATAACACAGGGGGTGGGGGGGCGTGGGGGGGTCGGAACCAGTTCGGTGACGTCATATCGTCACCGCTACCAGCTCGGGAGAACCGGGCTGAACCCACCACTGGTAGCATCTCCTTGACTGGAGAGACAACAGCAGGATCAAAAGAACTGCTCAAACACACCTCTTGGGAAACTGGTGCCAACAATGGCAAAATGGGGCTTCCCATGACCATAAACATAATAGGACTGGAGGAAAGGGTGGACTCACTGTTAAGTATCCTATCTTGTCCTTTCTCCTTATTTGTCCTCTTTCTCCTTTAAATCACCCCTCCCAATTGTTCTTTATTTTTGCTATATAAAGAAAATATATTCTGCCACTGGCAAGGGGAGTTCATGGCAGGGGATGCGTGTTCAAACTCTTTTTATTCCAAATTGCGAATGCACTTCTCTTTTTATCCTTAACATGTCTATTAAAAGCCGTTACCATAATTACTCAGATGGAACTGAATCCGTATTACATCATTTATCTAAGGGCACGTTTAACTAGGAAGAGACTGTC